GAGAGAGAGTGGGGAGATTGGGATATAAGATAAATGTTGAGGTTTTAGGCTGCTCTGGGTTAGTGTTGTGAACCACCCAAGTAGCATCAAATATGTCAAAAGTGGAGAGAAGATGCTGAAGGCAGGTACCCTTCAAGGGCTCCTTTGTTGCTGCTTCAGAGAGCCTATCTGAACTTTGGTGGAACCTCTTGTTTCTGAAGATAGGCGTTCAAATACGAGTTCACTGGAAGCAGCTGGCCTTCAGAAAACTGGAGAAATATCCTTCCATTGTTATCGAGGTAGGGAGACTAAAGGAGGAGATTTTATTGTTTATGGTGGTCAGATTAGATGTCAACATTGGAAAATTGAGAAAGAAATTAGGTGACCAACACATTTAAAATTTTATTAGGGTTTGTCATTTAAAAAACCCTCATTAAGGTAAAACTGGAGAATTTATCATCTTTTTCCAACAACCATTGCCATCTGTTGCTCAACAACCACAACACCATCAACAAGAAATCAGTGCCTACCATGGGCAAAGCATATATGATATTGATATGTAGTCATATCAATTTCTGATTTTCAATGTATTAGCCTTATTCATTTTTGAAAAGAGATATTTTGAATATCTTCAAATTATTTTACTTTTTATTATGTTACTTTTGAATACCTTCAATTATTTTATCACAAATTCAAAATTCCTATGTTAAGGCAAACTAAATTTCACAATTAGCAACAGAGGAGTTTGTGCTGAAATCAATTTTATAGAGTTTACCATGAGAAGCAGTGAAGCAAATTTCTTGTGATCTGCATAGACAGAAATAGCTAGCTTAATCAATGTCATTATTGGGGCCATCCAGGAGACATAAATAAGGGAAAATATGGAAAACACACTGATTGCATAAAATGAATAATTAGCATGAGGTCAAAACAGTTCTAACTACCCTTTTAAACACTTACAAAATATTTTATAGATTTTAATTAATTTTCCTATGAGAGTTAGATAAGCTGTCATTCTAAAGTTATATAATTTGTTATAGCTCTAGGAGTCATAATCTTACTGCTACATGCATATTCTTTCTAAAATTTGACTATATCTTAAAGGGCTTTTTGTCTTTATTTTATTTCAAAATGGGTTGACTGTCAATTTTCTCTTTATTCAGATATTCTGGTCACTCTTTCTGTCACCCGATAGTTTATAAGCTACTTGGGGTAAAAAGTGGAATTCTGAAGGAAAAATTAGAAAGACATAAGGCAACCAAAGTTAAACTAAATATGTATCAGGAATAATGGGGAATTTGAGATGAGAGGGAAGCACAGAAGAGAGGAGAGGAGAGAGGTGAGAGCAATAATAAATGCGTGAACAACCTGACAGAATGACTGCATGATTTTTAAGAGTAAGGATATGTAGATTAGTTAAATTTGCGTTGTGTGTATTGCCATTATGCAAATGTTCCTCCTTTCACAACCCATCACCCATCTTTCCACAAAGGCTTTGACTTACCAGAAAACCCTATGTGATTGGATGTTTTTGTTTGTGTGCATGGAAATTAAGGAAGGGGGCTTGGTTCTATTACACATTTCATCTTACACCAGAGTCAAGTTGAAGAGTGAAGAGCAGAAATCCATAAAGTAATTATTAGAATATAAGTTCCCCTGAAAGTCACAGTATGCTTGGGGAGGGCACAAGATTTTTCTCCTAGGATATGGAATTATGGGAAGAGAAGTCCAAATTTATCTAGTCTTTAGAAGGCATAACATCCCAGGATCTTGGAAATACATGAAAATAGATTTTGAGTGATAAAATATTAGGAAAAACAAAACAATAAAGGTCTCAGAGGTAACCTTCAGTCCCCATTTGCCCTTAAAATGTAGCTGATAAGGAACCTTCTCTGAAAATAAGCAATACTTCTGGTTCCAGCCATAATGAAGGAGCATATATTGAACTAATCTTCCAGTCAAACTTATTATTAAGCTGGAAAAAATACATAAAATAACTGCTTAGAAGCATTTGAGAGCAATCGACTCAGGTAAGACTTTCAGGACTGTGATCCCTGAGAAAAGGGAAGCACACCAATCCAAGTGCCACATTTAGCCAGGTATTTTTGTGAGGGCACTTGCCATTTCATCGTCAGGTAGAATAGAATAGACTAGTGAGGGGCAATCTTACCGGCTAAGGAGACAGAGGATGAAGTTTGGGTGAACCAAAGCACGTGGGATATGAGAAGTGTAATTCCACAGAGGAGGTAACTGTGTCGACGTTCCCCTTGAGGCATTAGCCAGCTCCTACCTCGAGCATGCATGGGGTAGTACTCCAAGAAACTTAGCCAAAAACAGCAGCTGGAAGCCTAAATTGCAGAACAGAGGTTTCAGCAGTAATGTGGTGCTGGGGAGATGGAAGCTGGTTCAAGTCCTGCCAAATAGGAGGCTCCTTGGTAAACATATGAGGGTTTTCGCTGAGACTCTAAAAAACCTGTGTTTTAGGAGTAAGGGCTACACCTCAGAACTAAGGGAAAAATTGAAACAGATCAGGCTCACAAAGTCTAAAATGAACTATGGACAGTATAAAGCTGATCTTCTGATGCTCTATCTGCCTGCCAAAAGAAAACCTTATCTTATTTACAGGAAAATGACATGAGCAATCTTTGATAAGCAACATCAATATTTAAATAAAATTATGACATCTGCTTTAAAAAATAAAGAACCAAATGACTGAGAGAAAGAGAGAGAGATGAGAGAGAGAGAAAGAGAAAAAAGATAACAATGGAAATAGTTCCATAGAAGATTCAGATATTGGAGTTATTCTGCAAGAATTTTAACATTGGTATGATTAGTATTCTAGAAAATAGGGAAAAAGGATTAAAAATTTTATCAAAGATAAAAATTCCTAATCTATCCACAGAAGAATAAAGCTAGATCTTTATCTCACACCATATACAAGAATCAATTCAAAATCAATAAAAGACTTACATTTAATTATTCACAATAGCCAAGGTATAAAGTCAACCTAAGTGTCCATCAACGAATGAACAGATAAAGAAAATGTGGTGTATATATGCAATAGTATACTGTTTAGCCTTAAAAAAGAAGGAAATCCTGTCATTTGGGAAAACATGGATGCATCTCAAGGACATCATGCTTAGTGAAATAAGCCAGGCACAGAAAGACAAATACCGTATGATCTCAGTTATGTGTGGAATGTAAAAACGTTTAACCCAGAGAAGCAGAGAGCAGAATGGTGGTTACCAGGCATGGGAGGAGGCTAAGGGATTGAGGAGACATTGATCAAAGGATACAAAATTTTGGTTAGGAGGAATAAGTTCAAGAGATCTATTGTACAACATGGTGACTATAGTTAATTATGTATTATACACTTGAAAATAGCTAACAGAGTAGATTTTAAATGTATTCATCACAAATAAATGATAACCATGTGAGGAAATATATATATTAATTAGCTTGATTTAGCCATTCCACAATGTATACATGTTTCAAAAACATCATGTTGTATACCACAAATTTTTTAAAGAAGATAAGAATCCTTAAAGTATACATCAAATGGAAAGAAAATAGAGATTGAGATTGAATACTTTCCACTTTTCCATGCTGAGGAATATTCGCTAATTTTCTCTCTTTTCTCATTTCTTTTTCCCTTTTTATTGCTTCCACTCCCAACTTACCTTCAGTCTTTAAAAACAGTTGTCATTTTATGCTGTCATGGAGAGCACAAAAAACACCTGTGGTTTTAAAATTCAATCTATTGAGTGAAAGACATGAAAATGGTTCCAAAGAGAAAAGACAACTTAATAGAAAGGGAATAGGTTTTAGAATCTGATACCTACATTCAAACTCTGTCCCAGCCACCTACAATTGTGTGATCATATATATGTAACTTAACCATTCTAAATCTCAGTTTTCTTTTCCTTAAGAATAGGTTGACACCTTAAAGATTTGTTGTGAGCAATAAATGAGATGCTTTATATAGGTAGAGTGCTTAGCACATAAAAGGTAGCCAATAAATGTTGGTACCTCCTCTATTGTTTGCTATCAACAATGGAGAGAAGCACATATGCAAAACCGGTAATCATGTATTTCAGAATGGGATATCATCTATGTATTTACTATCATTTGATAGCCCCGACCAAGAAAAAAGAATACACAATTCAAATTTTCCTCCTACCTTTCAAAATAGAGAATATTAATGACTAACAAAAATGTCTGCACAATATGGCTTAGTCAAAACCATAGCTTCTTAAAACCCTAGGAAAAAAATTTAGTGTTATAAATATCTGGGACAAAGCTCAAGATAGCCTATTAAGGCTTTGGTTGTCCCACAAAGCTCTGCATGCTCTGGCTTGCCTTTCAACAATCATTCCTATTAAATCATTTGTCTCTTGACACATTTAATGAAGTCATGTTCATGATCAGTTTAATCACAGGATTCAGAATAGTACATATTTTGACAGGAAAGCTGTTTGTATAAACTAAAACATGCAACAAATATATAATTGCATAAAATGTTCATTCTGCTTTCAGTGTGACAATACTTGGCTTGAATCTCTCTACGCATATTTAGCCATTTTAAGAAAGACTGTTTTGGATATCATTAAGGAAAAAGATTATTTTTAAGTAAAATCTATGTCAAGCAATTGGAGTAGTGAGCAATTAGAAACATAGCAAACTGAACCATATACTTTATCTGGAAATCCTTAAATTCTGGAGAAATCACACATGTCTAGCTAAATTTACATATCATTGAAATTGAGTCTAGTTATAGGCCCACAAAGATAAACAAGAAAGAAACTGAGTTAAGAGAAGTCAGCCATGAATAATATTTTCCTAGCGTGTTGATAACAAACTCCAGGTTTAGCTTCTAGCTAATTATTTAATTACCCAGCTAATGGCTGAATAGTCATACCTTATATATTCAGAGACTTTTAAGGTGAGGTCATGATATCTGGCTTTCCTGTTATAAATGATCTCCAGGCCAAATCTCAGCACTAATTAGAAATGAGACTTACATCACTCTCATGACCTTCTCGAAGGTTGTATGTGAGGTCATGCTGAATGTCTTCCACAAATTTGTGAGCATATTCTGGGTAAAGGTCTAGCACTTCAAAGAGTCCTTTGAGGATGATACACTGGAGATCACAGTAGGTTAAAGCCTTCACATCTGCATTGGTCTTGATCACTTGGTCCTTAATTGACAGATTTGCTCCAATTAAATCCCCTTTCCCTAGAAACAGTAGAGAAAAATAGAGAGATCATTTTTAAAAAAGGAAGCAAGGAAGCTTTGGACTGAAAACTTCATTTGGTTTACAGGCTTCATTTCTCTGAGATTACACTGAAAAGGGAAGAATCTTTATGTGGGGCAGGGCTTTTCAACTTTGGCATACAATAGCATCATGCCTCGGCTGTAACTTTTATTTTTTTAAATGGCCACTGTGCTCCATTTCATAAAGAACCAGCAACCAACTATTGAAGAACAACAACAACAAACACCAAACAAACCATATTTTTGCAATGTTATTAGAAAAAATGGCCCCCGCTTCCCATTCAATAATTTTTTTTTTATTTCAGCATATTATAGGGGTACAGATGTTTAGGTTACGTATGGTGCCGTTGCCCCCCCCAAGTCCGAGTTTCAAATATGTTCATCCAATAATTTTTTAACTTCTAAATTTTTATTTATTATCTTGCCCAGCATTTGTGGGAGCAAATTCCCTGTGTTAGCAGGCCTCAATAAAAGTCTGTTCTTTTGAATTTGACTGTAAAAGGAAACATGCTGAATTAACCATGGATACATGGGATATTCATAAGTATTTATGGCAGATCAAAAAAATTGAGGGTTTTTAAATTATTGGATTACAGCTAAGTATTAGCTTCACATTAATATTAGATTTAAACTTTAAAATTGAGCCTATTTTGGCAGAAGAAAGACCAGACTAAAATCTGTATTTATACGCACTAAGGATGATAAATAGCCACATGCAGTGGAAGAATTATTTTCAAGTTTCATTTATTATTTTCACCAATATCACTAAACTTGGAAATTTTGTTTCTTGTGTATTTTGTTAGAAATCTAATTGTTGCTCAAAAACTCAACGTTGGGTACTGATGCAAGATGTAAATATGGCCAAAATGTCTTAAATATAGCAAATTTTCAAATGTGCATTTGAGGATAACTTATCATGATGCAGTGTCTTGTACAATAAGTGTTCTCATTCTCTGTCGAGCAACTAGTGTTTGCAATAACGTTAGGGTCATCGTACTTCCATACGTTGGGTTGCCCATGGTACGGCTATTTTGGTCACAACGACACTAGCTATAAAAATAGCACCAACATCTTGCCAAACTTGGCATCCCACAAGTATGCCAGTATTCCAGTTTATTTATCCATTCAACGAATATTTATGGAGCACTGACTATGTGTGCTAGACATCGTGTTGAGCCTTGGTAAGCACATACTGGTAAATACCAAAATGGCTCTCAACCTCACTAATGTTTCAGTCTTGTGGATTTCTTACTGTCTATATTTAGGACCTCGAGTTAAGTTTACAATAATTCTGGGTCTCAGTATTTTTATTTCTAAAAGAAAAGAAAGATTTCTATGGCCCTTTATGGTCTCCATTTTTCAAAATTATACTACTGATCCTCGTAAATCAGTTATTCTTTCATTGGGGAGAAAAGGTGATGGGATGCATCTGCAAACCATCTGGGTTAGAGCTATAACTTATGTTTAATTATAGTTAGGCAGACGAATGCCATCTGTGAAGGTGCATTTATTGGTGCTTTGTTATTTTCTTTTAAAACAACAATGAAGAAATTGGTGGGAAAAACACAATTACCTGGATATGAAATGAAGGTGTACAAGGCAAACAAATTCTATCCCCAAAACAAATTCTGCTCCTATGACAACTGCCTCCTCAAGCATCAGATTAAGAAATGTCTTCATGTATTGATTGGACAACAGAGTTGCTTGAATAAGTTTATGGTTTGACAGCTGTTTGGTGCTACTTCTTCACGACAACATTAATTCCTTTTGTTGGCAGAGTGAACACGTATTAAGTATCTACAGATCAAATGTGAAGCCATATGCTAAGTTTATCAAAGTCAGTATTGATTTGAATTGGCCCTATAAGAAAATATTATCATAGGGAAAGTAAAAATAATTGATCTCCATTGAAATAATGTTAATCATAGTAAATATTAATAATTTATCATCTTTGTTTGGATTTAGTCCCAGTACTACATACCAGTGTTTAGAATCATCAAGTGGCCAATTTGCACTTTTGATATATACACAGGAGAAGCAAAGATGCAAAAATGTTAACCATAGAAATCACAATTTATGGAGGAATTTGAGGCCAGGAGCAAAAGGCAATGAGTTAAATCTTTCAGCTGTAACTAGTTTTCTTTTTAATTGTAACAAAATCCAATTAAATCATGTTTGACAAGCAATTGCAGTTACATAGAAGCTACTAAATTTGCACCTATAGTGCTCTAGCATCATGGATGATGACTTCATATTCCATTCTGAAAATTGTTGCTAGTTATCAACTTTAAAAATGCACCATAATTACAGAAAAACCCACATTATATCTGTTTCAATTGCTGCATTATTTTGGATTATATGAACACAAAAAATAAGATTCTGAAAAAATGTCTATATGACCTCTTAAAAAAGCAGGCTATGTCATTAGGCAGGCTATCTTACAGTGGAAACCCACTGAAAAATATTTTATGATTAAAGTTACATTTTTGAAACAAATTAGAAATAATTATCAATTCTAACTTAGAATCACAAAATGATAGAGTGATTGGCCTTAAACCTCATAAAGTTGAGAAAAAGCCAGGGAAAATGTTAAATTTTTCCCTTAACACATACACACACACACACACACACACACACACGCGCACACACACACAGGGAGCCTCACTCATTGATAAAGAACTGACCAAGTTGATAGTAAACTCTTTCACTTGCTATTTCATGCTTTTCTATTAAGGAGAAAAACATAAGAGGGTGAGTCAAGCATTGGGTTAAAACTTTGAAAAGCAAAAGCCCTAACTTTCCCCTGTAAGTGGTAAACTGAAGTCGACATGAAGCAATGAAATGCATATCGTCTTTCAGCATACGCTAGCCTTTATCTCTTCACATTTAATTGGAAATAATCACATTGTCTTAGTCTGTTCAGGCTGCTATAGCAAAGTACTATAAATTGAATAGCTTATAAACAATAGAAATTTATTTCTCATAGTTCTAGAGGCTGGTGTCTGGTGAGGGACAACTTTCTGATTCATAGATGATGCCTTCTCATTATGTCCTCACATGGTAGAAGGGGCAAGGCAGCTTTCTGGGGCCTCTCTTACAAAGACACTAATCCCATTCATGAGCTGCCTTCATGACCTAGTTACTTCCTAAAGGCCCCACCTCCTAACACCGCCACATTGGGACTTAGGTTTCAACATATGAATTTAGCGAGACCACAAATATTCGGACCATAACACACACCAAACTAATAAGGTTGCAAGATTTGAATTGGATAATGGGCATAAAACACCCAGCTTATACTAGGGATTCATTAAATATTAGTTCTCTTTTCTCTTCCAAAATTTAATCTATCTTGAAGTTTACTAGCTAGAATCCAGTGGTAACAGGGCTACAATGATTAGGCAGGATAATAGGCATTGTTTAGATTTGGAAGGAGCACTGGATACAGAACCCAAAGACTCAGGTTAGCTTTGACTTTGGGAAAACAGAGAAAATACTTTCACCATCTGTCTTTCTGTGTTGTGAAGGTTTAAATGAGAACTTGTATAATAAAATACTTTGCAAGTAGTTGTTTACAAATATAAAGTTCTAAAAAAATAGAAAGTAACAAAAAAATTGACTTAGTCCCTTTTTATTAACACAAATTCTAAACACTGATGTATTACTTTGGTGTTCAAAATATATCCTGAATTCACCTGCCTCTCACCATCACTGCTACCACCTTGGTCTAAGCTCCCTTCATAGCCATCGCTTGATTTAATTTCCACGAGGGCAAAAATTTTGGCCATTTTATGTTCTATGTATTTAGAACAGAACTTGATTCATTCATAGGCCCTCAATAAATGTTAGCTGAATAAACAAAGAAATGAGAGTGGTTTTAAAAAGAGATCCACATAAGATTATTAATGGGAAATTTTCTACATTAACCTTACATGCCATTTTTTGTCAGCTGCCCTTTATATTTCAATGAAGACCAATTATGTCTTAATATTTGAAGTCAATTTTGTGGCACAAAATTTTCACGAATTGTCTTGTGAGTTTTCTTTGAGGAAGTAAAAAGAGCCTATAGTCCCCTTGACAGTATTAGGTTAATGACTGTTATGAGAGCTTATTCTTGAAACATAATCATTTTTGCTCTATTTCTAGCATAGAAAAAACATAATTTTTCTGTTTCCTGAATTAACTCTCCACAAAAAGAAATGTCCTCTTAAAACTTAGCAGCTATTTCACCAGGAGGCAGTTTATATCATGATTAATAATTTGGCTTTAGGAATCAAAAAGAACTGAGTTTATTTCCTTACTATG